TAATCCCAGCACTCAGAAGTTCAAGGCCAGCCTAGACTACATAGTGAGATTCTGGCTCAAAAATAAATAAATAAATAAATAAAAAATAAAAATAAAAACTGCCATCTTAAAATATACTACACAACACTCATTCTCTTTATTGGGACTGCTGGAGATCTTGTAAAAATATTTAAAAGCTCCATAATAAGAAAATAAAAAGAGAAGAATTAACACTTTTTTAAAAATTGCAAATATTGGCACGAAATGTAAGCTTGACAGATGGGAAAAGCAATTTTTTTCTCAATTGATTTTGATTAACTTTTTAAGTTTCAAAAACAAGGGTCATGGTATTTTTGATTTTGGTTAAATCTGACAAAAAAATTTGCAAAAAAAAATTTTTATTGCTCAACTTTGTCACTAAACATTTTACATGTTAAGTACTAAAAGTGAAAGATTATAGTTTCTAGATTCATAAACGTGGGCCAGCCAGATAGCTCAATGGACTAAGGGCCTGCTTAGGCAAGCGCAGGGACCTGGGTTTGATCCCTCGCACCACATGCCATACCAGCCCTGCACTGAGATAGGGCGTCGTGTCACACACATGTAATAATGCCAGCGCTGGGGAGGCTGAAAACAGGAGGATCACTGAGTCCAAGCTGTGTAGTAAGACCCTATTCCAAATATATTAAAAAGAAAAATAAGCCACCATTTGGTTTCAAATATTGGGGACCAAACCAAAACTGCCTCTGCCACTCAACTACATCCCAAGCTCTTTTAAAATTTTGAAACAGCATGTCACTGAGCTACACATGCTGGCTTTGAATTTGTGATCCTCCTGCCTCACCCTCCCATGTAGCCAGGATTATAGATTTGTGCCATCACACCTGGCTTAGCCACTGATTTTTAGGGAGATGCTCAATTCCAATGAAAGGCATTAAGTTAGAGCTATTTTTCAACATTATCTAAGATATTTTTATTTTATTTTATTTGTAATGCAGGTTGAAACCAGGGCTTTTTACTATGCTAAGCTGCCCCAGCCTTGAAATATTTTTCTTTTTTGGTAACTTATGCCTGTAATCCCAGCATTTGGGAAGCAGGAGGATTGGAGCAAATTCTAGGCCAGCCTGGACTACACAGTGAGTTCTAGGCCAGCCTGAACTACAGAGTAAGACCTGCCTCCAAAATTTTTTTTCTTTTTTAAGTTTTTTTTTTTGGTGGAACCGGGGATTGAACTTAGGCCTTTGCACTTGCCAGGGAATGCTTATTCTACTGAGCCATCTCCCCAGACCTCTCTTTTTAAATTTTGAGACACAGTCTCACTAAATTGACAAACTGGTCAGACTGAGCTCAAAATTACAATCCTTCTACCTCAGCTTCTTCCTACTTGTCCTGGGATTACAGGTATGTGCCACCACATCCAGTCATTTCCAGATCTTAATGGAGTCAAAGTTACTATGTATTTGTTGCAATGCCTCCATCCAAGAAAATTTCAGTAACTAAAGATACCTTATGAAAAAAGATACTTGCAAGTTACCGAAATGGAATTGCAGAAACACAGTGCGACTGCTCTTTCTATCATGTTTGACTCCAAAATGGATCTAACATGACAAGAGTGAAAAGATTCTAACAATCTTTCCTCTTATTACTTTATTTTCTAATAGGTATTCCTACAACCCTAAAGTTTTATGTGACCAGCTGTGCATGGTGGCACATGCCTATAATCCCAGCACTCTGGAGGCTGAGGTAGAAGGATCACCATGAGTTCAAGGCCAGCTTGGACTACAAGGTGAGTTCAAAGCTAGTCTGCACTACATAATAAGAACTTGCCTGAAATTAAAACAAAACAAAAAAACCCAAAACACTTTATGTCTAGCAATCTTGGGAAAAGGAAAATAAATTCCTTCATTCATGCATGCATGCAAATCCAAATCCCCAAATGCAGGGAAGGGGCAAATAACATGAGGACAGGCTGGAGCACTTGCTCAACTGCTTTAGGATAATTTCAAAGGTTTTTCTTCTACATCGTTTCTACCAATAAAGTTTGGAAATGGGAGACTGTCCTGGTCCTCAGGGTCTCTGGCTCAGTAGCCACAGGAAAATAATTAGCGTGGATACACTGCCGGCCCTTGTACTAGCTGCTACACAGCTGCTCATCTGAGAATGATGAGTAGATGCACAAACACTAACTACACCTCCGAACCAGGGTACACTGCGGTGCATGGCACTTGCCTGGCGTGCATGAGGCTGTTGGTTGAAGCCCCAGCACTGTCAAAAGCAAAACAAACAGAAAAATACACAAACTAACAAGTAAAATGCCCCCCCTGGCAGTTTTTTAAGTTACTAATAAATTAGGGGAACTTCCTCAAATTAAACTACCAATTAGGCACTTAATTAAAAAAGGGGGATACTTGTGCAGCCATCTTGGAATTGAGTATACAGAAGAAATGCAAGATTTATGTTAACTACTTGCATTTTGTAGGAAACACATTATACAAACACGTTATACCTCGGCCAGATGTCTCTGAGAGAAAGAAAATATGAGAAAGAAAATAAAGAAGTGTTCTGGTTCTTCAAAACTAATACCCTTCTTAGTCCATTAATTAAAGTCAGCTTTTCAACATAAAAAAAAAAAGCTCAGATTTGGTTGAACAAGATAAAATTAAGGCAATGTCTTCATGCCCAATAATGGAAAGCACTAACCAATATGCTTATCGGAGAGGGACATACTGAGTTTAGATTTGGGCATAACATTGAAAACTTATGGCTTTAGGTATAAAATATTAAAGTTTCAAAATTCCATGTTTTCTCAGTTATTCTTTCTTTTCAGCTCCTTGGGTCTCATATAGCCCATGTCCCTGAAAGGAAGAAACACTTTTCACATAATTTTGGAATGAAAGGTGAGGGGTGCTTGCTTACAGCTATTAGCACCCAGACAGTAAACAGCTGTGTTCTGTGCACCGAGCCCTGACTCAAAGAGGAGGAGCCAGGACGGTAAAACACAGCTGGAAATGGCGAACGTCCTTCGGACTTTGCTGGAATCCAAGGTGTCCAGCTTTGAGGTATTACTGCCATATCATTTAACCAAGATTTGGATTTTTTTAAAGTGAGAGGTTTTTTGTTTTTGAAAGAGCAGCACTTTTTCTCACTGACTCTTCGGTGTGGGGATCCCTGAGCATGTCACTGTGTCGCCCCCCACTGTGCTTGGCTGGACCAGTCCTCTTGGCATCACGCGTTGTTGTACCAGTTCATGGAGCGTTTCACCGCTTTCACCCAGTTCTCCATGTTCGTTTCATAGTCTTCCCATTTCTTCTGTGGCTTGAAAACCACTTCACTTCGCCTCAGTTTCTTTAGCTCTTCCTTGTCCTTCCAAAACCCTACAGATGAAAAAACGACTCTCAAACCGTAATGCAAATAATGAGCTCATAAAATTGAGCCGCAAGCATATGTGCCTTGTGCTGAGGAAAGCCACTGGTGTTTTAAAAAACAACTCACAAGATTTTGTTGTTTTAGCTTTGTTAAGATTAGACTATTACTGGGGATAAATACACCAGGATTTTAAAATCCTGATTTCTAATATTCAGCTTTTTTCTGAGTGGCATCGAATCACTTTTAAAGCAGACATAACCAACATCATTTCATTTTCACTTGCAATTACTGGTTTTAAAAAGGATATTATACACACAACACACACAAATTTGTTTTGTTTTGTTTTGTTTTGTTTTTTTGCAGGACCAGGGATTAAACTCAGGCCCTTGTGCTTACCAGGCAAGCGCTTATTCTACTGAGCTATCTCCCTGGCCCCTCAGTTTTGATTTTTGAGAAACAGTCTCTTGACACAGTTCAGGGAGGATCTGAACTCACTATGAGTGCTAAGTGTGTACCACCATACATTACATCTTTTTCTTTTTGTACCAGGGATCGAACTTAGGATCTTGCACTTGCCAGGCAGGCACTTAAGCCCCTGAGCTGTCTCCCCAGCCCTTTTCTTTTTATTAAAATGCATGAATGAGTGAAGACAGCTGGGTATGGTGAAGCACATCTGTGATCTCAGCACTCAGGAGGCAGAGATAGAAGGATCTCAGTACATCCAAGACTAGTTTGGGCTACATAGTGAGTTCAAGCCCAGCCTAAAGTACATAGAGATCCTGTCTCAAAAAAACCAAAATAAACAAAAGTGAAGGTAGCCAGGTGTGGTGGCTGTGCCTGTAATCTCAGCATGCCGGAGCCTGAGGCACAAAGATCATCACCTCAAGGCCAGCCTGGGCTCCCTAGTGAATTCAGTACTGTCAGTATTGGAAAAAAAAAAGGAAAAAATAAAGGTAAATCAGTATTTTTCTCATACATCTTCAAGTGATTGGCAACTCTGGCAGATATCTAAAATTCAAAGCTAGGAATTAACATAATAGTTTATTTCTCAAACTGTAGCATTTCATACAATTTAAATTTCAATTCAAGTGAAAATCCTAGTTCTACCATGTAGTATTCTTTGCAAAGAGGATCATGGGGGGCCAGGGAGATGGCTCAGTAGAATAAGTGCTTGCCTGGCAAACGCAAAGGTCTGAGTTCAAATCCCTGGTTCCGCAAAAAAACAAAACAAAAAAAGAGGATCATGGGATAAGTTCATTAATACTCTTTCTTGGTGGAGCTGTGTTTTACCATCCTGAGTCCTCCTGTTTTGAGGCAGGGCTTGGTGGTGCACAGAACACAGTTGTATGTTGTGTGTAAGAATGACCTACATGTGTTTGTTAAATTTGGAGGGGGATGGGCTGGTCAGATAGCTCAGCAGATTAAAGCACCTGTTTAGGCAGATGCAGAGGCCAGGGCCCAGCCTTCCGTGCCAGCCCGACCCCTGGGGCTCGCTGAGACAGCCATTGAAATTGGGCATGGTGGCACGTGCTGGTAATCCCAGAGCTTGGGAGGCTGAAAACAGGAGGATCACTGCGAGTCTGATCTGTGTAGTAAGACCCTGTAGACTGTACTAAATACATTAAAAAGAAATAAATAAAAAATTGGAGGGGGCAAAGAAAGTGAAAATCAAACAAAAAGCCTTCAGCCTGAGCCACTTCCCCAGCAATTTTATTTTGTTTTTATTTGGAGTTAGGGTCTCACTAGGAAGCTAGGTTACACAGGATAGGCTTGAGCCTGTGACCTTCCTGCTTTTGCTTCCCAGAGTTCTGGGATTAGAGGCATAGACCACTATACCTCTACAATGTTAAACTTAATTTATTTAGTTTGCAAGAACTATTGACGTATTTGAGAATGGTTTCCTTGTTGCATTCTAGGTTTGCTTAATTATGTATTTCAAATTGTGTGTGCAGGTGAGGTGTGACTTAGGCCTGTGATCCCAGCACTCAGAAAACTGAGGCAGGAAGATTACAAGTTCAAAGCCACCTAGGTAATGTAGCAAGATTTGTGAGAGATGCTCTTTCTCTCTTGAACTGCCCACCCCTTGCCTTCTGTCCACCAGCTCATTCAACACTGAACTTGCAGCTGTATCTTCTGGGAGGCCTCGCACTTGCTCCATACCACTGCTGCCTGCAGGCTGCATCTTATGGGTATGATAATCTTCTGTCCAGCATCGCTGTTTTAGACATCTGCCTAATTCTCCCATCCAGGTACTAACCAGGTCCGATTCTGCTTAGCTTCCAAGATCAGATGAGATCGGGCATGTTCAGGGTGGTATGGCCGTAGACACCTGCCTAATTCTGCAAAAGACCTGGGCCTATGGTTTTTAACTTCATTATTCTCAGCAGTGATAACCATGCAGTAGGCACTCAACAAATAAAGGAAGGGGGTGGTTTCTAAAGTAAAAGACAATCTTACGTTATCAGCAAAGATTCTCCTTTTGGGGGTGGAGGTACTGAGGATGGAACCCAGGGTCTTGATGCTGAGCTACACCCACATGCTTTAAAATTTTTTTCTAATTCTTGAGACAGGGTCTCACTGAGTTGCTAAGATTTCTGGCTGGGCTGAAACTTGTAATCCTCCCGCCTCAGCACCCTGTGGGCTGGAATTACAAGCATGCACCACCACACCTGGCTGTGATTTTTGTCTTTTCAATGGCTACATAATCTCTTCTGAGTTCTTTTTTTTTGTTGTTGTTGCAGAACTGGGGATTGAACTCAGGCCCTTGCACTTGCCAGGGAAGTGCTTATTCTACTGAGCCATCTTCCCAGCCCCCTGAGCTCTTTTTCAATGCTTCAATTTTTGGACCTCTGTTCATTTCTGCATTCTTTCTTTTCAGCAAGAACCTTGTCAAGTCAGTTTAGCCAGAATCTCCAATCCTCAGTATCTGATCTTCCTGGATACCTCTGCTACCACCCACCCCCAGGTGATATCTGGTCTGCCTGCCTTCAGAAAAAATCCTGTTAGGTTGGTTCCAGCCAACATCTCCTCCTACCCTAATGTTTCTCCTAGTCATTTTCTACCTACTGACCTTTACCCTGGCCTTTGGCTAGAAGTTCTCACTTTTACAGTAGTGCCTATGCCTATTCTCAGTGGTCTTCTGAATTAAGTTTCCCTTACTGCTCTTGAAGAAGTGTTACTGTGACTTCTTTTAACACTCACTGCCCTCCCTCGTGAGACACCAAAGCAGCTGAGGGTCACAGACTGCCCTTCAAGCTCTGACCTAAGGAGTGGGGCGCTGGAAGAGCAGAACAGAACCAGACTACTCCCTCCGGAGGCCTCAGGAGCAATACAGACAGCCTGTGAGGCTTTGTAGACATGCCCAGTGGTGAGAAATGCAACCCAGGTGCAATGGCACATGCCTGCAATCCCAACACCTTGGGAAACTGAGGAAGAAGGACAGTAAATTAAATCCTATTTGGGCAATTTAGTGACTGAGACCCTATCACAAATTTTAAAATAATAATTTCAGTCTCTAGTATCACAGGGGGAAAATGCTACTAAATAAGATGGACACTTTTATGTACAGCGTCAACCTCTTATCACCTGGCAAGAACATTGCCTCAGTGAATAACCAAGCTAGCCCTTCTTTTTGTTTCAGCTAAACTCTTTGAAGTAGTCCACAGGGGACCACCAAGGTCACCAAGTCATCCTGACTCATACTTTTAGGCAGCTTAGAGAAAGCCTGGAGAGCATGCACAGGTGAGTTCCCGTTCCCAGTCTCTCTGAACACAGTGATCCGTGGTTACAAGCTAGGCCAGTCCAGAGAGGTGTCCACCATCGTTGTTTCTTGCATGTGCACCCTATGACCCTGAACTGAGCATATCTAGGTACGTGTTGGCTTCTTCTCTTTCCTCTTTCCATTTTTGAGACAGATAGGGTTTCCATGTAGTCCACACTGGCTTGGAACTGCTATGTGGATAAGGCTGCTCTCAAATTTTGGATGCTCTTGCCACAGGCTCCCACATTCTGGCATGACAGGGACGTGCCACCATGCCATGTGCCAACTTCCTTGCCTGAGCATGTCATCTGGGACTGTAAACTGAACATGTTCAGAAATGTGCCATGCACTTTCCTGTACATATGCAGGCCCTCTTAATAAAACCCCCACAGCACTTTTCCCCAGGAAGGGCACTGCTTTACAAACAGGCCTAGCATTTTCCTCACTGGCTCCAGGAAGTAGATCTCTCTCTACTCTTATATCTTGGTTCTGTTTTCTGGCTTTGCATTCACCAAGATGTGAACTTACTGCATTAAGTTGCAGAAATAGTTTGCAAGAAAGCACTTCATTTTTAACAAAATTCAGACATATCAGTCAGGTATGGTGGTGCATGCCTAGAACTGCAGCACTTGGGAGGCTGAGATAGGAGAACCACCATGGGTTCAAGGCCAGTCTGGGATCCACAGTGAATTCAAGACCAGCCTGGACTACACAGCAAGATCTTGTATCTAAAAAGAATTCCCACGTACCAACGGCAAGGCCAGCCAGAGAAGCTGCACCCAGGCAGGACATGTCGAAGTGGGCAGGTCTGTCTATAGTCTCATTGATCAAATCGGAAGTCATCTGCATGATAAAGCCGTTCCTACACACTCCTCCATCGGCCCTGTGGAGTCAGACATGAGATAAGTTAGTATCATTTACTCTTTTTCTCGGGGTTATGTATTTTTTTCTTAAATCCTGGATTTTTTGAGGTTTTTTTTCTCTTGCTCATTCTTTATTTTTCTCTTTTTGGTATGTTTTTGTTCCTAGGTAATGAAGGAATCCAGCCCAGGGTCTTGTGCATCCTAAGCAGGTGCTGTTCTACTGAGCTACATCCTACAGTCTGTAAATTTAACCTAATTTAAAAATTAAATCGTTTAGTACTGATCCAAGAGAGGACCTTATGGAGCAACATCTACACATTTCTCTATTCCTGCTACCAATATTTTCATTTATCACATATGGTCGGAGCTAGTTCCAAACAAACTAGGTACAATAAACTACAGCAATATAAAATTCACTTGGACATAACAGTGAAGACAGTCAAGAAATTTGATGTGACCATGCAAAAAAGTTATAACTCAGATTTCAGGCATATAATATGTTACAAGTACCAAGATCCCCCCAAATTTTGTACTGTGTTATATTCAACAATCCAAAATTAGCTTTTCTTTCTTCTCCAAATCCCTGTGAACCCCCCACCTTATTTTGTTTTTTTGAGCCAGAGTTTCAATGTGTTGTCTAAGCTAACCTTGAACTCAAGACTTTCCTGCCTCAGCATCCTACCTGCTGGGATTATAGACACACACCACCATACCTGGCTATGACCAAAAATTTTTTTCCAAGGGGCAGGCATTAAATTCTTTTCGCACTCCTAGAAAAATCGTAATAATGTAAACATTAATAGCAGCTACCACTTACCTCCCAGAAACAAAGTCTACATACCGGATTTTTGTGACAGGAATATGGATCTCTTTCTGCATGATCTCATATAATTGTTTATTCCTGGTTAAAACAGAAAACAAAAAACCAAGGTCACTACTGTTTTTTTACTTATTTATTTTCTAATTTATGTGTTTAGGTACATGGTCTCACTACGCAGACTGGACTCGTAATGATGCACCTGCTTTCAGCCTCCCCAGCTGGGATTACAGGCACGCCCCACCATGCCTGGACTGAATCTCAGGCTCAGAACACCTGGGGGCAAGGCCAGCACAGCATGTAGTACCGGGGATCAAACCCCAGTCCCTGTGCCTGCCTAAGCAGGTGCTTAGTCCGCTGAGCTATCACCAGCCCTTTGGTTTTTTTTTTTTTTACACCGTGTCTCCTTGTATAGTTCAGTCTGCCTCTGAACTCACTACATAGCCTAGGCTGGCCTCAAACTTTCAGCTATCCTCCTGCCTCAGCCTGCCAAGTGCTGGGATTAGAGGCATGTGGCACCACATTCCACAAGATAACTATTTTACTTATTGTTTGGGGGTGGCGCAGCTGGGAATCAAACTCAGGACTATGTCTGCCTGGCAGGCACTGTGCCAAGGTGACTACTTTAGAGGATATTCATATTCTAATAATTTGCTATTCTGTTGTTAAAAATAAAAGCTACGATTTTATTTGTTATTTATAAAATAAGCAAAAGAAAATATTAAAGAAATATGCTAACTGAAGGTTAGCTAGCACAGTCACAATGAGCTTTTTAGCATTTTTAATGATACCAACAGCCGGCTACACTGCCTGCCACAGGTCTGTACTGCTGGCCTCGCGGTGCCCACCTAAATAAGAAACTCAGGTCTTTGTGGTTTTTGCTTTCATGTAAGATAGCACAATTTTTTTTTTTAACAACCAAGTTTAATCTATTACTATTCTATTAAAAGTTACATACTTAGTTATGAGGATGACCTATCACAACCATTAAACAGAATTCATCAAATATCATTTGATAGTCACAGAAATTTTTATTTTAAACAATATAAACATTCCTTATTCATATCTGCTTTTGATAATTGAATTTCATAATCTACTTTTCTCATAACAAAGAGATCACAGGAAATATCAAGAGTGATTCTCATTTTCAGTCTTTGGGTACAGCTAAAACAATAGGAAAAAAACAACAAAACAGGAATTCATGTAAAAGGAGGCAGAAACTTTTCAAAATTCAAATTTTATATCTTTTATGTTCAGAAATTGGACCTCCCCCCTGCCCCCCGTATTAGAGACTGAACCCAAGGCTTTCTGTACTGAGCTATATACCCCAATCCCTTTGGATTTATTTTTTATTTTTTTGTATTTTAGGGAAGGGTCTACAGGGGGTTCAGGGTCTCACTACTAGATTGGACTCATAGTGATCCTCCTGTTTACAGCCTCCGCGGGGCTGGGATTACAGGCGTGCCCCACCACGCCCAGTCTCAATTGCCTCTCCACACGCCCTGGGGGCGGGGCCTGCACACAGGCCTGGGGATGGAACCCCTGGCCCCTGTGCCTGCTTGCAGGCACTTTAATCTGCTCAGCTATTTGGCTAGCCCTATTTTTATTTTTATTTTGAGACTGTATATGGTGCTGAGGCTTGGACCCAGACCTCACATATACTAAGCACATATTCTACCACCAAGCTATATCTCTAGCCTTGGATACTTACAAAAAAAATTTCAGTTATCAGCTATTAAATTTAAGTGACATTAATATTTTTTAAATATGAAAAAAATAAATATCAAAGAAATTAGCCAAAAGAACAGATTATATCCTATATAATATGGATTAAGCAAAGTTAAATAATGTAATTACAGTTGACACATTTTCTCTTTTGTAGCAAACTATTAAGAAAGTGGCAAAGTCTGAAGAGAGAGGAGTTTAAGGCAGGGTTTCCCACCTGAAAGCGATTGACTCCAATATTGCTCGTACGAGATGGTATTTACTAGTGGAAGGCTTCAGACCCATAAAAGAGGCACACGCACAGGGGTCATGTAATGGCGCCTACAGTGAGAGACAATGAGAACACACTGTAGGGTTAGGGTTCCTAATTACATCTACAGACTTGAGGAAACCCAGCCATGCAAACACAGTCCAAACATTGTGTTAACCATTAGGATGTTTCTTTTTCCTGGTCCTAGGGACTAAAACAAAGGGTAGATGCTCTACCACTGAGCTACAGCCCCAGCCCTTTTCATTCTTCATTTTGATACAGGATCTTATTATGCTTGGGTTACCCTTGAATTTGTGATCCTCCTGCCTCAGCCTACTGAGCCACTGGGATCACAGGTCTGCACCACTGGGCTTGGCACAGGGCAGGATAAATTTTTAACATCATACAAACAAGGTTGAGTCAGTTATTGGACTTAGGTAGACCATTTATTTATTTATTTATTTATTTATTTTATTTATGGCAGAACCAGGGATTAAACTCAGGCCCTTGTGCTTGCCAGGGAAGCGCTTATTCTACTGAGCCATCTCCCCAGCCTAGGTAGACCATCTATTTAAGCTCACATCAAAAATGGTCGAAATACAAAGTAAATAAGTATTAAAAGCTAATCTTCACAAATGCAGAAAAAGCAAAAAAAGCAACCACAAGAATGCTACCCTCACGGGATGTGGTGCTACAGGCCTGTAATCGCAGCACTTCAGAGGCTGAGGCAGGAGGATCAGAGTTTGTGGCCAGCCTGGGCTACAGAGCAAGTTCAAGGCCAGTCTGCACTGCATAGCAAGTAGTGCTATGTCTTTAAATAAATAAATTTTAAAAATCCTCCTCTCTCTTGTTTTTGTTTTAGACCTGCTTTTGTTTTAGTACTGGAGATTGAACCCAGGCTTTCATACTGAGCTATCTATCCATCCCTCTTTTGAGACAAGGTCTCACTAAGTTGCTAAAGTGCCTAGGCTAGAACTTGTGATCCTTCCCCCTCAGCCTCCAGAATTCTCTCATTCTCATTCTCCCTCCCTCCCTCCCTCCCTCCCTCCCTCTTTGAGACAGGGTCTTGCTATGTAGTTCAGGCTGGCCTTGAACTCAGAGATCCTCCTACCTTGATCTCCCAAGGGCTAGGACTGCAGGTGCGCACCACCATGCCTGAGCTAGAGTGCTCTTGAGAACTTCTGTGCCTTCTGAACTCTTCAACTGCAACTAAATTTGACTCCCCCGCTCTTCTAAGGAGTTCCCTCAGCTTAGGCTGTGATGCTCTCAGACTCCACAGCAGAGATCGGCAAGGCCCTGCCCAGACATCCACGAGCACTCCATACCCCAACACTTCCTTCTGGTCCCCATCAGCACCGCGCAACAGCTCCCTCTCCACCACCTTCAGATACCCCAGTCCTATCCCAGAACTAGACGTGGCCACCACAGACTTGCTGGCCTCATCTCATTCCCCTGCAGAGGCAACGCCTGGCTCCAGGGACCCTGTGGTCAGGAGCAGCCAGAAGTCAGCACCAGGTCCATGGCTGCCACATATCTGACCCACATGGGAGAGGACAATCAGAACCTCTTCCCTAGAAAAATGGACTAGGAAACACAAGCAAAGAGCCTGCACCAGTCAGGGAGCTGAGCCAAAAGAACATGAGAAGTAGAGGAAGTTGTGCACAGTATTTCTAAGCAGTGAAGGAGCACAGGCTGGGAAAACAGTAACAGGCAAATCGGGCGTGGTGGTGCACACCTGTAATCCCAGAACTCAGGAGGCTGAGGGGGGGGAGGACTACCACGAGTTCGAGGTCAGCATGGACTACATGAGTTCATGGCCAGCCTGAACTGCCTAATGTCTCAAAAAGAAAAAATTAACAAGAAGTTATCAGGAAGAAGAGATGCAAAGCCAAGCCAGGAAAGCAGGCCAGGGAGATAACTCAGTGGCATAAGCACCTGCCTGGCAAGCACAAGGTCCCGAGTTTGATCCCCAGTATCAACAACAAACAAAAACCAAAAAATAACTAGTAAAGCAGACCCAGGGAGGGAAGCAGAGCCCAAAGCACATCACTGAGAATCTCTAAGTCAGTCCTCCATCCCAGCTCTCAGGAGCATGGGAACCAACAGCTTCTCCCTAAGGCAACTTAGTGCCTGCAGTCTGTTCTGTGCTTGTGATAGGACCCTCAGGGCACACTCCACACCCCTCACGCTCAGCACAGCCACAGTGGCCGCTCCTATGGTGCCACCTGGGTATGGCCCCCTTCTGCTGCACCCGAAGAGGTTGGCGACTGCCTTGATGTGGCCAAGAACTGCTCAGACCTGGGATACAGCTCTGGGGTAGAGCACTCGCCAGGCACAGGCGATGCCCTTGGTTTAATCCTCAGCACAGCCAAAATAAACCCTAATAGTTTATGAGTGGTCAGCACCCTACCTCCTCCTGTTATCCCAGGTGAAACAATACTGTGGCAGGAAGCGCAGCATCAGAGAGCATGACCCCATACTCCCACCCCCACTGCTCTCTAGCTGTTGGCATGACCTGCCACTTGTTTCCCAATCAGCTTTGTATCAATACACTATTCTCTGAATTAATTTCAAGTTCCCAATTAAGAGCTTCATTTTAAACCAAGTGTGGTGACACATGCCTTGAATCCCAGTTCCTCAGAGGACCAGTCATGGTCAATAGTGCAAACCCTACCTCAATGAAAGGGGGTAGCCTTGGGGCCGGGAGATGGCTCAGTGGAATAAGCACTTCCCTGGTAAGTGCGAGGGCCTAAGTTCAATCCCCAGTTCTGCAAAAAAAAAAAAAAAAAAAAAAAAAAAAGGGGGGGGGGGGGGGGGAAGCCAGGCAGGATGGTGCATATTTATTTATTTATTTATTTATTTACTTATTTTTACATTTATTTATTTATGTGTGTGTGTGTGTGTGTGTGTGTGTGGCCAGCTTAGCCCACCGGGGGTGGGGCTGGCTGGCATGTGGTGCTGGGGGATTGAACCGCAGTCCCTGTGCTTTGCCAAACTTGTTCCAAGTAGGTGCTTTAGACCACTGAGCCATCTCACCAGCCCCAATGGTGCATATTTATAAGCCTGGCTATCAGGAGGCTGATGCAGAAAGACTGCCGTGAGTCTGAAGCCAGCCTGAAGTACACAGCAAGACCATTCCTCAAAAAACAAAAAAGACAAAAACAATCTGTTCATGATTCTGTAATTATGTCCCCCCGAAAGGGAGAGAAATGACGATGTAACAGCACTAGAGTGCATGCCTGACGCATGTGAGGCCTTGAGTTTGAGCCTGGGACTGCCAAAAGGAAAAAAAAGCGCTTCATTTCAGGCTAGAAATCACGGCAGGATAGGGACATTTGTCACACTAAAATTAAAAATCCTATCTGTAACACCTGTCTAAATCTTTTGGGCTTTAGCAATAGTTCTTTTTTAAAATCATATACTTGGGGCCGGCGAGATTGCTCATTGCTCTAAAGCGCCTGCTGAGGCAAGTTCAGGGACTGTGGTTTGATCCCCAGCATCACAGGCTGTGCCTGCCCCATCCTCAGGGCGGGCTGAGCCCGCCACTAGATAGATAGATAGACAGATAGACAGATAGATAGATAGATAGATAGATAGATAGATAGATAGATAGATAGATAGATAAAATACTTTGTCATTTTTATAGGCCTGTGAGGTGATAGAGGCGTGGAAGAGTTGCCAGACAAAGGCACTCTAAAGTCCCCTGCACATTTTTCAGAGGGGGAAATACTGAGGAACAGAATGAACAAGGCCTTGGGCCAGGGAGATAGCTCAGTAAAATAAGTGCTTACCTGGCACGGGCAAGGGCCTGAACTCAATCCCTGGTACCATAAAGAAAAAAAAAAAAAAACCACTTAAGGAGGCCTGCCTCTGCAGGCGACAATGACTCACTGGCCCTGCCCGGAAAATTCCACTGGATACCTCTCGCTTCCTGCCCTGCATGGGTGCTGCCTGCGGGAGCCTCACACCACTCACGGAGCCTGCGCTCCCTACACGGAGCTCTTCGAGGGGAGGCAGACAGAAGGAAGAAATACTGACAGTGAAATAATGTCTTCAGTCTCCTTTTGGAAATATAGCATATTTAAATATTTAAAACATCCTGATTAACTTTTTTTTCCACTGGCTTCTACATTATATTATCAAACTTTGAAATTCTGGACATGATCTAACCAACTGAGCATATGATGGAGTCTAAAAAAGAGAAAACTATTTTTCAAAGGGAAAAAATATTTAGAGAAGTTATGAAAGGACTGGTATACATTTCCCCTCAAAAAAATTTGGTTTGTGATGCCTCGAAAGGCTTTTTTAAAGTCTCCACAGTAATGTTCTAAAATTGCAGGCAGCATCACAGCTTTCAATTAAATTCAAAGCTAAATGCTGCAGAATCAAGTCCTTAGGAGTTTGCCTTCTGGTTAGGCAAAGTGACCAACAGTGTACCATAACAATTAACAAGAAGAAATGTTGATTTTTATTGTTGGGTTCTGTCTCTGTCTGTGTCTCTTTCTCTCTCTGTCTATCTCTGTCTGTCTGCCTGTCTCTCCTTCTCTCTCTCTGAGACAGGGTATTGTTATATATGCCAGGCGGGACTTAACTCTCTCTGTTGCCCAGGCTAGCCTTAAACTCACTGCAGTTCTCCTGCCTCAGCCTCCCAAGGGCCCAAAGGCTGGGATTATGGGCATGCACTACCAAGCCTGATGTTGATTTTTGTTTTGTAAGTTGATTTTTAAAAAAAGTGAAGGGCCGGGGAGATGGCTCAGTAAAATAAGCGCTTGCCTGGCAAGCTCAAGGGCCTGAGTTCAATCCCCGGTTCCGCAAAAAAAAAAAGTGAAACCTGGAAAAATATGTGTGTTTTATTTATATTTAACATATAATTACATATTTATAGATAGAGATGTAGATCTATACATATAAAATTATGTATGTGAGTAGTGGTGGGCGAGTGTGTGTTATTATTTTTCTGATTCTTGCTGGTACACTTTAACTAAAGGGTGCCCATTTACTGACTCTTTCCCCACTTTTTCTTCGCACTGTAGTAATCCCAGGTGTGGTGCAGCAGTGCTACACAAACCCACCAACCATGAGCTGCCACAGAACAGACTTCTAAGCAGCAGCCAGCTGAGTTCTGCAAGCACAAGCCAAGCCAGGCAACAGGGTCACCGGTCGGGCACATTCTACACTTACAAAATTCAAGCCAGGTCTTCCCACTTGTCAGCTCCAGGACACACCTCTCATCTTCACTCTGCTCTGTGTTCCCCCAAATCCCCAAGTAACAGCATGGGAGATGCACAATTCTGAGTGTGGCAGAAGGTGGAAGATGTTCACAACTGCCACTAGCTTTTTAAAAGAACGCCTAGCAGGGGATACCCAGCGGCACAAGCGTCTGGCTGGCAAGCAGGAGGTCCTGAGTTGGATTTCTGGCACCAAAAAATTTTCATTAATTAATAATTAGGTAATTAAAAGAATACCTGCAATCCACTAAAAGATGGAACAAAATAAACCCCTTCAGAATCTTCCAGACTTGTGGCCATTTTTTCAGTCTCAGCAGCATCTGTGAAAAGATCTGCGAAAACAAATACACAGACAACAAACAACCCTAAAATAAAATGAAGGGCTGGAGAGGGGCAGACAGAATCACGTTATACAGCTGATGATTTACCGGCCTCCCCACACGAGGAACGTGATGTAAAGGGCAGCACATGTGAATAGGCCCACACGGACGCCGTCCTGCGCCAGCTCCTCTCTCTCATACTACACAGGTGACAATAAGCCCATGGAAAGGACAAGATGGCCCCTTTAGGCTCCATATGCAACATGGGGCTGCATCTTTAAATTTATTTTTAAAGAAAGCTGAGCTGCTTAAAGAATCAAAATTTTATTTTGTTTTGTTTTTTGAGACAAGGTCATTATGTAGTCCAGGCTGGCCTCAGAACTCTTGTGATCTTCCTGCCTCAGCCTAATAGAAAAATGCACAAGTGGCTGGGTGTAGTGGTTTACAACTATAATCACAGCACTCAGGAGGCTGAAGCAGGAGGATCACCATGCATTCAAGGCCAGCCTGGGCTACATAGCAAGACCCTGTCTCTAAATAAATAACTAAATAAATAAGTAAGAATCACATTTGAGAAACATCTATCTTGGGGCTGAAGAGATAGCTCAGTGGTCTAAGTGCCTGCCGGCAAGCAAAAGGACACAGGTTCAATCCCTTGTACCACAGAACTCTGGGCGCACCATGCAGGTGAAACCAGGCATGGTGGCACACACCAGTAATCCCAGCCCTGGGGAGGCTGAGACAGGAAGATCACTACGAGTCTGAACTGTGTAGTGAGACCCTGTATCAAATAAATAAATAAAATTTTTAAAAATCTAACTAAAAATTCGAGCTAATAAAGAACATTAATAATACCTACAATTTTTACTCAGTGTGACATTTGGTTAAAACATCCCACAACACATCTAAAACTGCACCTCAAAATCTTTGGCACTTCAAAAATTAATATCAAAAAAGACAAGTTCAAAATCTGTACTTTTGCCAAGCGTGGTGGTTACATGCCTATAACCAGAACACCTGGGAGGCTGAGGCAGAAGGATCACTCCAAGTTTAAGGTCATCCTTGGCTGCACAGTGAGACCAGGGTCAGCCTCAATTGCATAGTGAGACTCTAACTAAGCTACTGGAAGCCTCTGAGAAATAAGTTGGCAGGCGGCAGGAGGACAATGACTGCCCCCAGCTGGAGGTCAGCTTCCTGTTGGAAAGCCTAAGGGACAACCTGAGGTCTCAAGCCTACATTTAAACCTCACAGAAAAGCCCGATTTACACCCAGATTTACACTGTCACAAAAGGCCTGCGACAAGGATTTCTACAGAACTACGTGGTTTCTCATTGGACGTTTTCATTCTCCCAGGCTGAGCTCCCACTGCAGCAGGGACAGTTCGGCAGCAGCCAGGACAGGTCAGCAGCCTGGAGCACTGTGCTCAGTGCTGCAAGCCAGCCAGCAGGAGGCGGAAGGGAGGATGCAGAGTTGGTGGCCGGCCAGGGCAGCACAGCAAGCACATGCAGCGCACAGCGGCGACATACACACACGGGCTCACTTCTCCCTCTTCCCTAGTGTCTCCTGCCCCAGACTCCAGGGATCTTCCTGTAGCTGAGTGCAGGCAGGGGAGTGGAGGCAACCAAAATTCAAGGCAAGAGCCCTAAGGAGTCTGTGCTGCTTTCTTCCCACCGCCTTTCCTGTGACTCCACTGCCTCCCTCTTCTCTCAACCCTCCTGCTGCTCAGAAGAGGTGAAAGCAATAAGGCGGAGTGTTCAGGACAGGAGGGAGATAAAAGCCCACCTTTTTGTCAGCACACCAGGGATCAGAATTACCAGGAGATCCCTAAAAGAAAGGCACCTAGGAAAAGTGGGGGCTGGGGATTTGGCTCAGAAGCAGAATGCTTGCCAAGCTAGCTGGAAGCCCTGGGTTCGGTCCTCGGCAACAAAAACAAAAATAAAAAATGAACCTCCCCTGCAGGAAGCACTAAATGCCTGTCCTAACCCCGAGTAGCACCTGAGGCGCCAGAGCTGACCTCCGGGCCGGGACAGGCAGCTGTCCAGTTTGGCCACTGGGTGGCACAAGTGAGAGAAAGAGCCAAATAGCAGAGCTTGGAAAACAACAGACACCAGAACTACAGGCCAAAACGCAGCTGGGGGCCTGTGATCCTTTGGAAATTATCCATAGAATTTTTTTTTTTTACCTCTTTACTTTTATTTATTTTTTATTTATTCATTTTTTTGTGAAGAGTTCCATATTTTTAATTTTTTTTTTTTTTTAATCCATAGAATTTAAACAAGACCCAGTGATAGGTTACAGCCCTACTATGAACTGATGAATTATTATGGTGGTCACCTATTATGGCTGAAGCCCTTAAAGCAACAGCTTACCTTCCCAATGACCACTTCCTCCTCCTTTCCCACTCCAGCCCTGGATACACCTTCCTTTGATCCACCCACACAAGGGAGCCTGTAATCAGCTCCTTATACATCATTAAACCTGCCCCTCAAGCTCCGCCCCTAACAAAAGTCCGTAAAGTCTCAGGCTCCCAGTCTCAGGTCAGAGGATCCGCCCATTTCCACTGCCCTCGATCCTCTCCGTGTGTTTAGAGTTAATAAAGCCTTCCCTCCCCCCATTTCTGCTTTTCTGCCACACAGCCTCCACCATCGCTGCTGCCTCTAGAACCTATGACCCAGAATGTCACAGTATTCAGATTTCTGAAACAAGACAAAATAGATCAACAGATGAGGGGCAAAGTAAACCTAAAACCACACCCCTACCCCCATACTGGGGATCAGACCCAGGGCAGCACACTGAGCGGCATCCCATTCCTTTGTGAGGCCAGGTCCCAACAGGTCATCAAGTTACCCGGGATGGCCTAAACCTGCCATCCTTCTGCCTTGGCCTTGCAGGCCTGTGCTGGGTATTTATCCTCATTGTAAAGCGCTGCGCTGGGAATGGAGCTCAGTGTAGAACACGCGTAGCATGCACACAGCCCTGTGCTCGATCCCCTGCACTACAAAAAGAAAAAAAACTAAAAAGATAAACCCCAACAATATCAAAATACATATGCATTGTAGCATCATCTGTATTTTTAAAGAAGTAGAAACTTTAAATGTGCAAATATAGGATACTGGCTGGCTAAACTATGTACACATACGTAATACAGTAATATATAAATGTGTGAAAAGAACAAAGAAAACCTCTATGAACTAATGTGAAACAACTCCCAGAATGCAATGTAAGTGGGGAAAAGGCTGAATATAATAAAAGAACACTCACAGCATTTGTGTAAGAAAGGGAAAATACACATATAAGTTCCTGTTTTTTACAAAAAAAAAAAAAAAAATACAGAAGACAAAAACAAAGTGGATACCTGCAAAAGGTAGAGAGAAGAGAAAAGGAAGGGAACCAACTTCTCTGAATGCATCTTCTATGATTTTGGCTTTGGGAATCATTTTAATGTCCCAAATTTAAAAAGCAAAATAAAGAGTTTTAAAGAGTGGATGGAAGCCAGGTGTAGTGGTGCATGCTTGCAATCCCAGCACTCAGGAAGCTGAGGTAGGAGGATTGCTGCAAGTTGGAGGCCAGCCTGAACTGCATAGTGAGACTCTATCTCAAAAAGCACCCCCCCAAAGGGCCAGCCAAATAGCTCAGTGGATTAAAGTGCCTGCATAGGCAGAGGCAGTGGCCAGGGTTCGATCCCCAGTGTGCCATGCGGGCCCTGCCTCTGGGGTATGTTGAGACTGTGATTGAGATTGGGCATGGTGGCTCACACCTATAATCCCAGCTCTTGGGAGGCTGAACACAGGTAGATCGCTACAAGTACAATCTACATAGTAAGACCCTGTAGACCCTGTACTAAAATATAAAAAAAAAAAAAAAGAGTGGATGATAGCATGAAATAAAATTGAATATAGTAGCGTGAATAGGACACATTAATTCTATTGGCAATCTGAAGTGTTACTCTGGGGCCAGGGAGATGGCTCAGTGGAATAAGTGCTTCCCTGGCAAGTGCAAGGACCTGAGTTCAATCCCCAGTTCTACCAAAAAAATAAAAATAAATAAAATAAAATCATTGAAGGGAGAAAAAAATGAATTTATCCAAGTAAAAATTTAATACTATAAATTGACCCCATGTCCTTGATAGAAGTCCCTGAAAATCCAAGGCTTCTTTCACATTTGGCTCCACAGCAGGCCATACTTACTTCATGGTGCCACGCTAGCAACAGACGAGAGGGAGGCACGACCTTGAACTCTGACCACAACCTCTCTGAGCCACTCACTGTACCCACCACATGCCCAGCCATGGTGCTTGGGATCCTCTGCTGCTCCAGAGGACGCCTGCCTCGCCTCCTCTCAGGAAAGCGACTCCTCTCTCTCCATCTTCTCAGAGAGAAGGGAGCAGTTTGTTTTATTCTGAGCAAACAAAGAGTTGTGGGTTCTTTAAATGTGTTCTTATGAAGAAGTCTTATGAGGATTCCCCGAGGCAAGCAGATGGCAATTAAAATCATACAGCTAAGGAAAAGCTGTCCCCTGACTCTTGTTACGGAGGACAGCAGAGAGGCGAACTGCCTTAACTGTACAAAAGAAATAGGGCATCCTTCCAGCCCCTCCGACAGATCAGGCTCCTCCGTGCCAGGTCATCTGCACTGCTCAGCTCTCCTTGGACCACTCGGACCAGATGCCCTCTGCACCTGGCAGCCACTCATTCTCTCTGCAGAGTTCAGCTCAAACAACACCTCTTCAGGGGGGCCTTTGGAGTCTCCAGACTAGACTTTGGGATTCAAAAACCCTCTTGCCTCAGCCTCCTCAATAACTGGGACCACAGGCATACTCCACAACTCACAGCTTTAGTTTTTAAAAACTGCTCAAGTAATAATGTGGGTCTTCCTTGCTAGCCTGTAGACCCATGTGGGTAGGTGTCCAGGGACATTGTGAGCATTCATCTACTTGCCGATTGAATAAAACCAGGTAGATGTGGAACTATTTATAAGATTGAAATAGCAAAATAGACCAAAGAGTGAAGGGGACCAAAAATGAAGAAAAATTTTTTAAAAATGAGCATTAAAAAAAAAGATGAACATATGAGGACTCAAATATAAGGAGGGAAACATAGGAGAAAGCAGTGTGGAAAAAGATCGGGAGAGGGTATGGTGGGGCATGGCGGTAACAAGCCTGGCACTCAGGAGGCTGTGCAGAGAATCGTAAGCCTGAGCCCAACCTGGTCAACTCAGGAAGACCTTGTCTCAAAGTAAAAAATAAAAAGCAGCTAAGCGTGGAGGCACATGCTTATAATCCCAGCACTTGGGAGGCTGAGGCAGGAGGGGATCACAGTGAGTTTGAGGCCAGCTTGATTACAAAGTAAGTTCAAGGCCAGCCAGAGCTGCATAGGAAAACCCTATCTCAAGAAAAATGAGAGAGAGAGAGAGAGAGAGAGAGAGAGAGAGAGAGAGAGAGAGAGG